CGCCAGAAATCAAAGAAAATAATAATAATAATAATAATAATAATAATAATAATAATAATGATTTATGCTGAAAAATACCCAATATTATTGAACGAAAAGTTAGAAACTAAGAAACAAATTCTAGTTGAAGTGATAGGTCTTTGTTGTCATAAAATCTTATCTCTCAGCTAAATACTAATCACATCCAAAGTATATGGTTCGGTTAAATTGACAAGAGACGGCAGAAAATAAAAGTGTGGAAAGAAAAAAGGGTTACGCTGAAATGCAAGAAAATCGATTTCATTCATTTATTCATTTATTGAACCCAATGATCGCTGATGTTAACAATATTTTGGATAGACACTCTCCAGTGGGATCATCTATAATTGTTGAAAACTATTTTTGTTCTTGTTTTAAAGACATGGTATCTGCAGCCCATGTCTAATCACCTTTATACAGCCACCAGCGGCTGTGTTTAGAATTCAGCGTTGTCCTTCTGCTGTACAGGTTGACAACCTCGGCAAGGAGGTCCAGTTTGCGCTGCTATTTAACCCATAGGTAGAGGGAGAGAGAAAATATGGATTAATAGCTTTCTCAAGGGAATTTGTGCAAAATGGGACTATAACGAACTCGATCGGAATTTGAACTCAGTTTGCTGAATTCTCGTTTCAAGGTAATACACACTATACTACCTACACAAGTAAGTATAATATCAGTAAGAAAAAAATCGTCAACAGAAAAAATACTTACAAATGGGAAGAAAAATGAGGAAAAAAATAAAGCGTGTCTGCAGAGGAAGAGTTGCATTATTATTATTATTATTATTAGAAGAAGAAGAAGAAGAAGAAGAAGAAGAAGAAGAAGAAGAAGAAGAAGAAGAAGACGGATACGGTTATAAATAAAAGAAAGAGACAAAAGGTAAGGAAAGGGAAATATAGAAGTTAAGGGTGGAGGTGAGAGGGTGTTTATGCACAGAAGAAAAAGAAGGAGGAGGAGGAGGAGAAAAAGAAGAAGAAGAAGAACATTTAAAACAAAATAAAATGGGTAAAAATAGTTAATACGATTCAAATATAAACGAAAATGAGAAAAAGAATAACGCGCGGCTGCAGAGGGCGAGTTTTATTATTATTATTATTATTAGAAGAAGAAGAAGAAGAAGAAGAAGAAGAAGAAGAAGAAGAAGAAGAAGAAAAAGAAAAAGAAGAAAGACCTTCAAAACAAAAAGAATGGCTAAAATAGTCAATACGATTCAACCATAAACGAAAACTAACATTAACCATGTTCGTTGCATGCAAGTTGCAAATGACCCTCTTGAAGGCTACGAGAAAACTTTAGCGTAGACTAAGTGAGATGTATTCAGACACAGTCAGAGTAAGAATCAACTGCCGAAATGTGGGGTTTGGAAATGAAACAACATTCAAACCTGGGTTGAGGAGACGATTACAATAGGAAATCGGCTCAAATCGCTTATTAATGGCGGACAGAAAGCAGAAGGGAGGAAAAAGAACGCAATAGAAATAGAGAACGTCAGAAACGGACCCAGGAGAGTCCTTGAAAAATGAATGGGCCAAAGGATTGTTGAGTAGGAGAGTCCCTATTGCAAGATTGTCCGGCACCTCGCCAACGCTGAGTGCTTTTTGCGCTCACCCCAGCGGTGCGTTGGAAAGCAATTTTCCAACTAATTTCATTCCCGATTTTGTCTGACCCGACCCACTACCATTTTCTATACCCTATCGGGCAGTGAATTCACTCCAAATGCTGAAAAGAATCTCAATTTTTCCGTATCACCACTACCTAGCTACCTGATACTTTCGCCTCATTGGATAGTTTCTCTCTCTCTCTCTCTCTCTCTCTCTCTCTCTCTCTCTCTCTCTCTCTCTCTCTCTCTCGCTCGCTCGTCGCGATACATGAGGATGTTTATTTATCTAACCGTCTGTCTATCTTTTTTCGCAAGCCATTCATCTTACCGTAAAATCTGTCAGTCTAAGTGTCTCTGTCTGTCGATCGATTCACGCCATAAAACCTAACAAATCTCATCCTGCAAACATACGAGCATGCGCACACATATATACGAGAAAGTCTCCCAAAGTTACGCCTCCTACATACTCACACAGAAACTACAAAATATACAGGAAACACAATTTGACCTTTATATATAGATAGTTTTTAGTTTCCAAACAGTATTCTTTCAAACATTTTTGCCAATGATTAAAACAAGCGAGAACACACCTCAAGCATACAAATGGCAACAGTAATTTTTATCACAACTGCAGAAATACGGTTCCGATTGTTTAACTGAGTTTATATCCACTGTTTAGTTTCCGCAAACGTTCAGCAAGCCTCGTTGAATGTCAATGACTGCATTTTTTTCATATAACTATACACTTTCATGTAAACTAATATTTTGACAGATTGTCGCTAAACTGCTATCAACAAGAAAACAAAATTGCCCTAACCTTTACAATTATGCCAGTAGCTTCTACCTCAGAAGTTGAAATACGTATGTGCGATACTTCATATATATATATATATATATATATATATATATATATATATATATATATATATACTTGATCGATTTGAACAAGAACTCTAGCGGCATGGCATTGCACGCTTCAAAACATATATTCAACTGTCAATAAATAGCACAATTTAAATAAACATCTTTCAGTCAATACATATTTCGTCTTAGAGGTTGCCTTTGTATGGGAAAATTGCACAATGAAGATGACAATTCGAAATTGTCGAAAGTAGTTGGCAAGTGTCTTCCACCTGACAACAACTCGAATATAAGGATCTTATTATTCAAGGAATTGATAGTAAGTTAATGTCTCATTAAGTTTTGTTAGTGATGTGATTTCGCCATTAATCACATTAACATTGCTATTTAAGTCTTTGTATAAATTGTTTCTTTATGATATAAAATATAAGCTGCACACTATGTATGTATATAAAGTATTACACATTGAGAGCTGGTATTATTAAAACAGTGTTCGATGTAAAATAATAGATATAAAATTGAAAATAATAATAAATATTAGATTTTGTTCCTCCCTGCTAGCAAAATTCCGAGTTTGATGCACGATGCAATCATCAGGCGCTGATGTAAAATTTAAATATTGCTATTTATCAGTCAGTTATGTGCCATGCGTGATAAACATTTGGCGATCATATATCTTTCGATACATGACTGACGAGGTAAATTTTTCCTGCAGTAGGTTGCCATTTCTTTTTGCAGTAGACCAGTTGCCATCCAAGGCTATAGAATCCGGTCTGTCTTGCTATTTACCCATAGCTGGGGGAAGAAGAGGATTCATACCTTTCCCAAAGGTATTAGGATAAAAAGTGAATGTAATGGATTCGACTGGAATTCGAACTCGGCTCTCCGATTCCTCAATCCGTGCAACTATGCATCGAGCGTAGCGTAATCATAACAGTATAAAATACAAATATACACATCTAATATATATTTTCAAATATAATACACATATACACACAAATATTTAGATATCCATATATATAAATATATACATCAAAATTTACACAGATATACACGCATATACAAAAGTATATCCAAAATGCTACCGGTAAGGAAATAATGTATATTTATTATTATTATTATTATTATTATTATTATTATATATATATATATATATATATATATATATATATATATATATATATATTTAAGCATTTCACCCCAAGCAAGGCTGGAAGCTACTAGCACGCAAGGGTTTACAGAGGATTTGGAGTGATAGAGGAAAGGATGAAGAGGAAGATAGTGGATAGATCAAGGCTACTGGAGACGTCGATTGACATTACATTTGAATAGTTGGAGATTATAGCTATCAGGGAAACAGGAATAGAGAAGGGAGTTCCACAGACGATAGGTGCGAGATATGAAGCTATTGGAGTAGAAGAGATGGCTACATTTAACAGTTTCAACAGTGAAAGGGTGAGAGCAGGGTGCCAGCCTCGTAGGACGCTTGAATTCATGAAGTCTGGGAACCAGCGAATATACACTGTAACCCGGATATAAGAGAGTTGTCGGTACCGGAGAAGAAGTCTCTTATATCCGGGTTTCTCTTATATCCGGGTTTCTCTTATATCCGGGTTTGTTCTATTTTATATACATTAACACAGGCTCTAATTTGGGACCAGAGAAAATCTTACTTATATCCGGGTTTCTCTTATATCCGGGTCTCTTATATCCGGGTATATATATATATATATATATATATATATATATATATATATATATATATATACCAACTGGTAATTGGTGGGGATTATCTCAAAGAGGACATTACTCCAAAAAGAGGCCAATGTAAGTTACAGAGCAATATACTAATAATAATATAAAATGAATAAAAAAATATCCTTAAAAATCCATCTCGGTTAGAATCAATTTCCTAAAAAATTTTTTAAACCTTCGGTCTAAAGATATGAATATATAAATACATTCATGAAATAAATTATATTCGAGATGGATTTTTAAGGATTTTCTTGACTTATTATATATATACCGTATTTTTCGGTTTACAAAACGCTGCGGCTTGGAAGACGCACCTAATATTGGGAAGAAATTTCTAAGAAAAAAACATTCTCATTCAACAACACATTTACCATGCATCCCTCACATACTGGCGCTTCGTATTATTTACATTAACCACTCGTCCAATTTTGTTTGCATGTCAATGACATAACAGTTAGTGGTTAGTGAATATACTATACATCTTTCATTGTCCAAGGATGCTTTTAAATCTTTTATGAACTCGCCATAGATGATAATTTCCAGAACAAAATCATTATGATATGTGTAACAGCCTGGTGGTAACTGATATTTTCATGATATAAGTGTGTGAACAAATCTAGACCATCAAGATCAAGAGCAGAATGGCTCCCACAACTGGTAGTAAACAGAGCATGCTTAAGCTTGTGGCTCAGCTCCTGGAAGGTTTATAGTCCTGGAAATACTTGTAGCAGCTAAATACTGAGGTTATATCATATAAAAGGCTGAATTAGATAGATAGATAGATAGATAAATAGATAGATAGATAGATAGATAGATAGATAGATAGATAGATAGATAGATAGATAATAACATTATAGTGTAATAAAAATCCACGTACCTCTCAGTCAAGCCAATTAGGCGACCGTCCTAGCTTATTTGATCTTGGACGTTGGTTTACATTCGCCTTGGATAACGCATACTGACATTTCAGGGCATTTTTTATGAAAAAAATGCAACCGGAAAATACGGTATATATATATATATATATATATATATATATATATATATATTGTTATGGTCCAGGTTAGGACCAAGAAGTACAACACGAACACAACATTAGAAATAACGAAGGTATATTACACGAAATATTAATACAAGATTTGGAAGGTGTTAGTATGACTGTCAGTCTGGTTTGGAGTGAACTACTATCGGCTCGACTCGATTCGTCCTTCTCTCTTGAGAGGTGTAATATACATAGTGTTAGGAAGAGTTCATTCTGTAGTTATAGGTAAGGACCCATGACATAAATATATATATAGGGTTCCCACAAAAACACAGCAAGAGTGTAGGTATTACAACAATGCGCTCACGAAACATCGAAGTCGGCATGACTGAAATAACACGACTCAGTTAAGTGAAAAATTTCTTCACATTAATTCTATTAATGCTCTATCCTTACCTTTTGATACCAGGTTCTTTAAGACAAAAATTCGCCTGCCTAAAATGCCTTTCTACCAGTAAATTACGGGAAAAGAACCAACAATTTTGGCACCTCCGAGCAACCGGACGTCTATCCACACTGATGAGCTGTGATACAGCGAAACAGTCTGTCTGTAGATGACAATATATATATATATATATTTCAGCACTTGATAATTGCATCATGCATGAAACTCAGAGTTGTACTACTAGGGAAGAACAAAATGCATATTATTAGTATAAATTTTATCTCTATTATTGTACATCGAACACTGTTTTAATAACACCAGTTCTCAATGTGCGATACTTTATATATATATATATATATGTGTGTGTGTGTGTGTGTGTGTGTATATATATATATATATATAAAGAATTAATGGATTTTATTTTTTAATCCGACATATTTTTATTACAGCTTACTCGAGAAAACATGAACTATTTGACAGGCTATCTATCGCTCTATTAATTTTTCTGGAGTGCGGAAACCGGTAGACGAAATAAACAGTTTTAAATAAACAGTGCGTCTACTCAAATACAAGTATCTAATAAAAATAACATTTGAAATATTTTTTCCTGTATTACGGGACAGGTACTTGATTTACGGTCAAAACTTATATAGAGATAAATTTTTCGAACCCTGAGCGCTTTCAGCTTTCATAATCCATTATTTAAAATCTTTTCATATGTGACTGCAATAGACTAATATGTATTTGTGCTATGACGATTTTAGCTATTTTAAGTCTCGCGTCTCGCTTTTAATCTTGCTAAACTGATGCTTCCTCTGCAGCTAAATGGTGTAACACATCAGGCTATATGACGGTTCCATATAGGATACAGGTTCGATTCCTGTCAGGGGACACATATCTTCTATGAGATTTCGCGGACATTCGGGCCGGTAAATGTTGTTAATACTGTTTATTATAAACAGAGTATTTACTTAAACATTTGTATCTATAAAAATAACCTATAAAAATAACCTATAAACAGAAAAAATATTAAAATAATTGTCGGACTTCGTCCATTTCATAATATCATTTCATCATTTGCTTGCTGATAATTCAACTTTACTTTAATTCAATTTAATAATTATATTGATGGTTTTGGCTCTCGTTTTTGAAGCATGAGAACTCTTATGTATCGAAGGAATCATACTTTTTTAAAATAATTATAACCTAAGCTCTACTTCTGTATGGAGCACTGGTTTTTAAAAATAAAAACAAAAATACTAAAGAACCCTGGATTATTTACCAAACGTGTTCTTTTCCTATTTTTCTATATACCTGCACACACACACACACACACACACACATATATATATATATATATATATATATATATATATATATATATATATATATATATATATATGAGAGTGAGCTAGTGTGCTCTTCTTCTGTGTGCCATGGCCCTGAGGACTTTAGTGATCATGACTCTCAAACTTCCCTTTCCTTTGTAGCTCTTATTAAACTTTGTCTTATTGTTATCTTTTGAGAACCTGTTCTGCCATCCATTTACACAAGCATGCAAGATAGATTATGCGTTGTTTTCCTCTGTTCCTCTTGCCCTCAATCTGCCATATGAGTATTAAATTTTCCAAGCCCTCTTTTCTCATTGTGTGCCCTAGAAATGTCAACTGTCTCTTCCTGGTATTACTTTTTGTTTTCATTTTCTCTAAAGCTTCGTCGTTGCTCACATCTTCCATCCATGGTATCCTCAGCATCCTTCTGTAGGACCGCTGTATATTTTAATCAAAATTTTATAACACACTACTCTTTTGCATAGAACCATTATATTTTTCACATGTTTAAAATCATATCAATATATTCTCTTTGACCATTCGGTGTATTTTTTCCGTTTTACCTGATTGTTCAGTAACATATGCGCAAATACAAAGATCTATAAATCTCGTTTTATCGTCTTCCATAAAAAAATATATATATATATATATATATATATATATATATATATATATATATATATATATACACTTGTATTCTGTTTCTCATCAAGATCCTTTAAAGGCTAAAAAGCAGAAGGTCATATAGGTAAAAATAAAAGAATGGATAAAAGACAGGCAAATGGAACGAATAAAAAGAATTGGATAGAATACGCACGAATGTAGCAAATAACCAACACGCAAGATTTCGACGCAATTTCACTGTGTGTCAATGAAAGGAAGTGATTTCAAAAACCTGTCCATCCATTAGCCCGAGGGGGATAATCGCTTTCGACGCTGGCCAAATATCCATAAACAGAATGGCCATAACTCCAACTTTCTTTTTTTTCCGCGGGGGGCGGGTGGAGAAGACAAAGTGCGTCACAGTGAGGGAGAATGATGGCCGGTCCGTGTCAAACCAGAGTAGTGACAGTATGAGGACTATCCTAAAAGGGTCACAGCGACAGGGTTTCAGAGGTCAAGATACGAACAATATTTGTCCTTCTGGAAAAATGGTCAAAGATTAGAACAGAAGTAGAGGGTCAGGTTTTGCTTGGCGCATTAAAGGGAGATTAATTTTGTGTTCATGAGGAGAGCCGCGATGATGGTAGAAGAACAAGAGGAGGAGGAGGAGGAGAGAAAGAAAAAATGCCGAAGACAATACTGCGCTCAATAAGGAAAAAGAGAAAAAAAACACAAGAGAAGAATTTGGATGTTCACAGAAAAATTAATAAAAAGATTATGAATAATAGAGTGAATGAAGTTAATACAAAATGAGTGAAAAATAATGAATATAGAAATAACTTACTATTTACATGATTCGGACTATTGTCCTTATCTTTGTCGCCATATTTATTACAACGTTTCGACCGTTGTACGCTCCGGTCTTCTTCAAGTGCGTGGAATGTCGAACTGAACCCTTTATTTCGCTCGCTGGGTTAGACTGTTCTTGTTCCACGTGCCATGTTTAAACGTTGTAATAAATATGGCGACAAAGATGAAGACAATAGTGGCGAAACGTTGTAATAAATATGATGACAAAGATGAGGACAATAGTCCGAATAATGTAAATAGTGTACATTATACCTCATCTCAGAAATATAGACAAATACTGAAAGGCCGAAACGTTGTATTAAATATGGTGACAAAAATGAGGACAATAGTCCGAATAATGTAAATAGTGTACATAATACCTCATCTCAGAAATATACACAGATACAGATTAATTGTACATTCCATCAGCTAACATTCCTCAAATAAAATTTTAGAAAAGTTTATTTTATTTAGGGTGGTAGCACCTGTTAGGGTCCCAGCTATGGGTAAATAGTTAACTATTACCAGCAATACTTTTTTGAAAACAATTATTAACAGCAATACAATTTTGAACGAAAAATATTACGAGCAACAGATTTTTGACAAAACAAAATATTACCAGCAATTAAAAAAATTGTCGCCATTAAATAACCCATTCAGTTTGATATGCCGTAGAACCAAATAAACCAAAAACCAAACCATTTTTTTTTTATGTTCTTTAAAACCGAGAATTAACTTTTGTTTACAAATGTATCAAAATGTGTCAAAAAAGGCCGATTTAGTGAAATCGACCAATGGTGTGATATTCTAAACAATTTAATTTTTATTTGAAATATACCAGAGTATTTTGCTTAATAGAAATTGTAAATTTATTCATTCAGCTTTTAATTTAAAACTTGAATGAAAGCTTCAAGAATGTGTTTTCTTTTTTTAAAATTTATTTTAAAACTTTAGGCATCAAAACTGAGTGGCGGTACCTAATCAAAACTGTAACGTTTTCTCAAATTATAGTATTTGAGCAAAACAGTCTTCTTACAGTGTCGCCATTTCCCTATATTTTGTACTTTTACAGTACCAAGCAAAACTTAACTAAATTTTGTAAGTTACGATAAAACGAGTCGCATAATTAAGTTTATTTCTAACGTTTCTTTACCTGGACAGGATTTATTCGATATGATGCTGCATCAATTCTTCTGTAATGTTTCTTTGTTTTCTGTGTTTGGTTTTCGTTTGTTTTTTGTTTTTTTGTTTTTTTGTTTTTTGTTGTTTTCGTTTTTTAATCCCACTGAGCAGCTTAATCTTCGACGTTCATCAGATATCTTCATTTTTTACTATTAATCACAAAATATAAGGCCCAAGCGCCGCTCAAACTAGAGAATTACTGAATTAAGTTTCAAAAAGTAGATGACCCTAGAATTAAAGAGGTTATGATTGTAATGTTTGAGAAAGGATCCTCTCTGAAATTATTTCCACAAAATAGCCGTTCTTAGGAAAAACAGTTCCCTGAGTGGAATTCCCTCCAAACCAATGGAGTACAATTCGCCCCTGGTAAGATGCGTGCTAGATGTAGAGGTCTGAACCTGATAAAGAAAGGGATTTATTTCGTTTGCGGGTGATGAGCTGTAGGGTGGGAAATAATTAATCACCCAAAAAGCCGCGTAGACGCTTCTGACCTCCCTCAAGGCTAGAAAGTGAGCAAGTCCAGCTCAGATATGACAGTAATACTCTATTTTGGGTCTTATATTGACTCGAGCAAAGACAGAGCGTGGCAGGAGGAGTCCGAAATTTCTGGCGCTTTTTATTTCTCACAGACAGTGCCCAAACTGACCCTACTATAATGTGCAGTCGACAAAATCACAACCAACGCGCATGCGCGAAATCGAAAATATAACCTGGCGACAATTTACGAATCGCACCTTGTGTATACAAGTTTCGTAAAAAAATGTCCAGGAAAGAAAATTATAAGAACACAAGAGAAATTTAATTTATTCCTTTCACCCTGTATATACATGTGTATGTGTGTGTCGGCGTGTATTTTAGCTAATGAGACATCATTTCTCTGAATATATCAGCGAGGATCGAAATCGTTATCGGTGAATCGTAAACCGTATTCAACCAGAGCATAAATATATATGCAACTTATACAAATCATTTGAATCTGATACAAGGACAATATGGCGGAGGACCACATAAGGACAGTGCTTGTTGCAGTTAGGGTCAGAGGTTTACTATTATTTAAGAGAAGTGTGGCGTAACAGTTAGTTAGATAGATAGATAGATAGATAGATAGATAGATAGATAGATAGATAGATAGATAATGAACAAACTGTGATAGATAGATAGATAGATAGATAGATAGATAGATAGATAGATAGATAGATAAAGAATAAACAGTAAAGTATAATATATTATAGATAGATAGATAGATAGATAGATAAATAGATAGATAGATAATGAACAGACTGAAATAGATAGATAGATAGATAGATAGATAATGAACAAACTGTGATAGATAGATAGATAGATAGACAGATAGATAATGAACAGACTGAAATAAATAGATAGATAGATAGATAGATAGATAATGAACAAACTGATAGATAGATAGATAGATAGATAGATAGATAGATAGATAGATAGATAGATAGATAATGAACAAACTGTGATAGATAGATAGATAGATAGATAGATAGATAGATAGATAGATAGATAGATAGATAGATAGATAGATAGGGTAAATGAATGTACGTTCCGTTGTCTTCAGCAAATATCTATCTATTATTTATGTGCGGCTTCAAAATATGAACGCACCTCGAGTTCACATGTAGATAAATACACAATAAACCGTGGGTCGTATGTAACGGCGCTTTCGAGTAAACACAGATTGCAGTCCTTCCATTCACCTATTATCAGCGTCTTTATGCAACTCTATTGCTTCTTTCCAATATGCCTCCTTCCCGAAATCATAATAGCCCTTCAATATCCTGGAACATAAAGGAATAAGTATGGAATATAAAGCCTTCTTCGGTAATGCAATATCATCGGGCAGGGAAATGGCTCCTCTGTTCAACTGAATATTGCGTTCTTTCCTGTCCATCAGAAGCCGTTTCAAGCGATATTTCAACGACATATCCAAATAGTCGATACTTCGCTGGCAATTCTGTAACACGGTGGCTATCGTTCCTTTTATATTTCGTACTTGAGATTTTACTATTGGCAAACTTCGCTTTTTATTGACATTTCTTGTCAGTTCGACGTTTTTTTTTTCTCTATTTTTCATTTCTATTCTTTTTCCGACCTCATTTTTGTTTTCATTTTTCGCTTTTTTTCTTTTCTTTTTTCTTTTCTTTTTTCTTTTTCATGTTGTCTTTTTCTTTATTTTTTTTATTTGTTTTGGTTATTTAAAATGTCATCTTTCTTTAAGTAGTTTTTACTAAATGTTAACCCATCTCAAGGCCCAAGAGCCACTCAACGCAGTGGGCTACTGAGTGCGGTTGTTGCATGAACTTGGAAGGAGAAAATAAGTTCAGATAGTAGGATAGATAACGGTTTGTAGAAGTTAAGCATCATCGTGCCTGGTCAGTACCTAGATGGGTGATCACTTGGGAATACCACGTGCTGTAAATTCGCCTCAGAATTAGAAATCGGAGAGCCCAGTTCCAATTCCATAAAGATTCGTTATATCGACGTCTAAAAGGTATAAATCCACCTCGTCTCCCCAGCTATGGGTTAATTAGTAGGATTTATATATCATTATTATCGCCAAAAAATTCTTATATCCTCATTTTTTTCTGGGTTTAAATTACCTGCAAAAGTTCGATAAGTCGTAAAAAGAAAATATCAATTGATAAAAAATAGTTTCTACAGGTTAAGATTTTAGTGGCCAGGAAAGCATCCTCTCGGGAGACTTTTTCACAAAGTGGCGGTTCTCAGGAAAAATTACTCTCTGAAAGGAACTTCTTTCTTGCAAATTGAATATGAATGTAATTAAAATAATTCGAACCTGTTATGATCATTGCTGGAAATAACAGCGTTGATTATACTAAATTTAAATTCAACATTCCTAAATTTATATTATAGAGACTATTTTCCAGATTTTTAAGGTTACTTAAAAATTATATAAAAAGGTGCTCACCCGTCATTTTCTTAAATTATGTTGTAACAGATAACCTACGAGTGACAAGCGACGGTAATAAGCGGGTAATCACAGCTACAATTTGTTTCAAAAATCCATTCTCTGTTATTCTAAATTTAAAGTAAATAATATTTTTTCAAATCAGATAAATTATACTTTAAATCAGTTAACATTCCTCCAATAAAATAAAGGAAAATTATATTTTATTTTTTGAAGATTTTAAAACCGAGAATTAACTTTTGTTTATAAATCTGTCAAAAATGGCCGATTTTGTGAAATCGACCAAAGATTAGAGATTCCAACCAATATAATTTTTATTTGAAATACAACAGAGTATTTTGCTTTCTTGAAATAGTAAATTTAATCAAATTTAACTAATGGTCTTAATTAGAGAATCTAAGGAACATTTTCCATATAAATACCGATAATTCTTCTCTGGGAAAGGAGTTATAGTGTGGGAAATAATTCATCACCCACAAGACCTTGAGTGTTGGAAATTATATATATATATATATATATATATATATATATGTCAAGGATGGAAAGAGAGGATTGGACTGCAATTGTCCAGGTTTGTTCTAATTTAACTATTGTACAGATTTTCGAAAAACTCGCTGCCAGTTAGGTCCCAAGCAAGTTATTCGCACGTCCCACCCCACCCCCGAATAGTGAAATAGTCAGGCCATGAATTCAAACACCTCCCTCTAGCCCATGGAAAGCTAACTCTAGCTGTAAAGGGATATGCTCTACATCAAAATCCACCCAATGATAAGCGGTATGTCCACGAGTTTATTATTTTTTTATTAAATGTTCATCTAATAGAATTGTCACACAAGATAGAGGATTACTGAATGAGGCTGTTGTAGAGATCGATTGATTGGTTCCTTTTCTACGGGTTATTTAAAGCCAGAATATATTTTTAGATTACAAGAATTTCTTTTTGTAATAATAATGATTTTAGTGATACAAGTCTTAATAACTAACCAATAGCTGAGGTTAAGAGTTGATTTAATAAAATTCCTAAGCGTATTTGCACAAATGTAAATATAACAAACCCATCTGGAATTAGAACTCGACTTTACGATTAACCATTGTGAGCTATTAACGATCACACCACTTGCACATCCAACCTCACAACACCTAGAATTCCCAAACGGTCACCCATCTAGGTACTGACCAGGCTCGACGTTGCTTAATTTCAGTGATCGTGCAAGAACCTGTGTTTCAACGTGATATGGCCGTAAGCCTTGTCAAAGAAAATATGAAGTACAGATTATGAGGATATGTAGGATAGAAAACAGATGCGCCTAGACTCAAGGAGGTTAAGATTATAATGATCGAGAAGCACCTTCTTGAGAGTCCGTGCCATAAAGTGAAATTCCCTTCTTACCAATGAAATTCGAAAAGAAATGAGGATGATTCGACCTTGTGTACGTGGCATGGTAGATCATAGAACCTAGATCCTAGATATAAAGATCTGAATTAGTGGAAATAAGGAATGTAACTCGTCTGATCATTTGCCATGGAAATAGAGATTTTATATTCTATTTCATTTATCTCAGCTACTATTTGTATCCATACAGGGTCTCCCAAAATTATCAATTCAGCGAAATCGGACAATTAAAAAAAAAAAACAAACTCATTTTTATTTCTCTTCACCGTGTTTAATATGAGTTAGAAGAGTAAAAATTACTCATTTTTTCTACATACACACACACACACAAAAACACACACGCACACACACACACACACATATATATATATATATATATATATATATATATATATATATATATATATAAAGATTATTACCTTTAGAACAACATTTCCGCTTAGAAAACACGATTTTAAGACCTTTGCCAAATTCACTATAATTGAGAGAATAAAAAAGTTCAGATCAGATAACATTAGAAAGATTTTAGAGTTCCATGAAAATAAGTGGATACAACGTTTCAAAAACAAAATATCCAGCTGGACTTAACCATAAATTTAACAATATATATAGTATAGTAATATATAACCCTACAAATCAAAACCTACCCACATTTCTCACCCACACAAGACAGACATGCTTACGGAGGTGTTGAGGCCTCACACTTATACACTCACCCTCACGAACATACACACTTACACACATCATACTCACACACTTCCTAATGAGCCAAATGATAACACACACCCATATTGATATACACGCTTAAACACATCATACTCACTCACTCCCTAAGAACCAAATAACACAAAGAGAAAATGAACTTTTGTCTGTAGTTTTCATTAACTACAGACAAAAGTTCATTTTCTCCATCAAGACATTCATTTCTGTAGTTCACTGCTACCAGCAAGCAGAAAATTATTTTTCTCTTGATGATGGTCATGTTGGCCGAAACTAGTCGAAGAATCTAAATGAAATAATAATAATAAAAAAAAAAAAACGAAAGAATATTAATATACCACCCAGTGTCTGAAGATTTTAATTTTTTAATATTTTTTGATATGATATGCATGTCAGAATTCGTTGAAAAATACATCCCTACCCCTACCTAAACATAACCCCTTTTTCAAACATAAAAAGTTAATAAAATGAACACGCAACCACCCCTTGTCTGGATGAATGGATTTCTCTGTATCCATGGAAACTGTAAATTATGATTTTTGCCGTGCCTTTAAAACCCAGTAAATTTAAAAATAAGTTACTCCAAAATTCGCTTGAGGATGAAATGGAACTAATGTCTTTAATTGAATTACAAAATTAAATTCGAAGCTTTTAGCTTCCATTCTTGAAACATGGTTAGAAATGTGTAGCGAAAAAAAACATATTTTAAATCAGTTAATTTATAATATTAATGCTCTGTAAATTTACATTGAGCCCTAAGAACACCGGATTATATATCTTACTGTTCTTTTTTTTATATATATATATATATATATATATATATATATATATATATATATATATATGTATATAATTGTACAATCGTGAAAATCATAAGTTGTGTGTTTATAAACATTGATTCGGACTTTTCTAACCAAGCGCTTATCTGTAGTTGTATGGTTAACAGCACGTCAGGTCAAATGGCGTTTCCCATAAAGGGTTACAGGTTCGATTATTGTCGGAGTGCGTATATATTCTACGAAATTTCTCGAACATTCAGGCCGGTAGGTTTAATTAATAATGTTTAATTAAAAAAAATCAGAGCATATATCAGCACTGGTAAAATGGTTGCTGAATACATTAGTCTTATAAAAATCCAGAAATTCATACACAGATGTCCTCAAGAACACATGGCGCAGTGGATAATGGCATTAGTTAGTTAGTTAGTGACAGGACCCAAAGAGTGTGAGTTCAATACCTGGTTAAGAGAACTTGAAGAGGGGAGTTAACAGGAGATAACGGATAACTGACATCCATTAAACATGTCACGTGGAACTAGAACAGTCTACCCCAGCTCAACATTCCAACCACCTGAAGAAGGCCAGAGCGTACAACGGCCGAAACGTTGTGATAAATATGGCAACAAAGCTGAGGACAATTGTCCGAATAATGTAAATAGTGTAAATCAGAGCATATATATATACACACATTTGTGTATAAATGCACAATTATATATAATTGTGTATTTGTGCAAGTTTCGTTATTTTTTTTCCTAGACATTTTTTACGAAACTTGTATATACAAGTTGCGATGCGTAAATTGTCGGTATTTTATATTTTTAATTTCGCGCATGCGCATTGTTTTTTTTTTTTTATTTTGTCGACTGCACAGTACACAAGGGTCAGATGGGCACCGTCTGTGAGGAAAAAAAGCAGCATAACGCAATTCACAACACTTGAAATCTGAAAACTGGAATCTCCAATACAAAAATTTCAGAGTGTTTGGGTATCAATCTGAGGACAGTGCAGAGGGTTCGGAATGAGCTCGATGAGTCTAATGGTGATTACGAAGGTACGGCAATTGGGAAAACTTACTCTGTTCATTTTGATAAAAAAATAGAACTTCCGAAATGGTGCTAAGAGACTGAAATTCAACGGAAGCCTACATGAAGTGCTATGAGAAGATAATGGTACCCTTGGTCAAGAGGATGGCTGATGGAAGACACTATGTCTGTCAACAGGACTCTAGACCATGCCACACAAGCCGCAGAGCCCAGTCATGGCTGTCAGACAATTTTTGCGGACATATCTGACCATCTAACTCCGCATACTGCACCCCCCTTTAATTATTATGTGTGGAGCGCAGTTAAGCGAGAGACCAAAAACCTCTTTGTAACACCAAAGATGAACTGAAGGCAAGGATTATGGCATCATTCGCCAAATTAAACATGGAAACCGGCCGTATAGATAGATAGATAGATAGATATATGCACAAAGAATTCTTAATCGAGAAAATCAAGAACAAACAACGCGCATGCGCGAAATTAAAAATATAAAATGACGACAACATTTATATTTTGCATCCTCTCTATATATCAGTTCATGATCTATCTATTACAGTTTATTCATATATTTCTTTCTATCTGTCGATTTCTATATATCGATCGCAATCTGTTCATATCTATCTATCTATCTATCTATCTATCTATCTATCTATCTCATTCTGTTCATATGTATCTATCTATCTATCTATCTATCTATCTATCTCATTCTGTTCATATCTATCTATCTATCTATCTATCTCATTCTGTTCATATGTGTCTATCTCATTCTGTTGATATCTATCTATTTATCTATCTATCTCAATCTTTTTATGATCTATTATCTCCGTCTGTTCATATCTATCTTTTTTATCTATCTATTAATCTATTTCAATCTCTTCATTATCTATCTATATGTATATCTATCTGTCTCTATCTATATCTATCTATCGCTATCTGTTCACATTTATCTCAGTCTGTTGATATATATATATGTCACAGTCTGTAGACACATATCTGTTGTTATCTATTTATCTATCGTAATCTGTTTATGTCTATCTCACTCTGTTCATATCTAAGAAATATTTCGATGATCACGAATTTTCTTAAGTAGATCCTATAATTTTAAGAAAAAAGTTTTATACAGTAAAGCCTAATTAAAGGGTTTTTTGCAAATCAATGTACGAATTAGCGCTAATCCATTTAAAACAATTGAAATGTCATTTTGTCTTGAGATTAAGAGATTTTAAAATCTTTAATCACACAGAATTAAATTAAATCGACAAACTCTTTCCATGCCAAACAATATCAAGAAACAAAGCAACACAATGAAAAACCAAGGAAAGCGGATCAACTGAAATCAAGGATTAAGGGATTATTATGATTATTGAATCTTTCTCTTGAGATACAGGGATTAGGGCTCAATTAGGGTTTTATTAGGGCTCAATGATAATAGACGATTTGATTATAAGAAGGGCTCTTGTTAACTTTATGGATAAATTGAAATTTTGTTAGATGTTTACAAGGAAATTAAATTCTAAAAACGACATGATGAACAGGGAAAAAAGTAAGCATCATCAAAAATTAAGGTGCCATGACAGGGGACAGTAATGCGCCCGGAGACACTAATGAGACCGGGAATACATATGCGCCCGGAGACACTAATGAACGCGGGGACACTAATGAAACGGGAACAATAATGAGTCTGGGAACACTAATGCGCTCGAGGACACTAATAATATGCGCTCGAAGCCACTGATGAGCCTGGGGACACAAATGAGCCCAGGGACACTAATGTGCCCTGATAGGTAGCCAGGTGCGCCCCAAGTTAACAGAAGAATAACTTATGAATATCTCAGTCTTTGATATTTTAAACTGAATACTTAATTCCAAATTTTATGACTAAATTTTCATTATTAAAATTAAAAGTTCCCAACAGCGTTTTAATTGGTTTTCAAGCGTGTTCTGGAGAAAAAAATAATGGTTGACAAATACTGACTTAGCCAAAGAAAAGACTGGATCAAAACAATATTTTTAAAAAGTATTATACTTTTTTTTTATTTTAACTGATATCGGCAGAATTCATTCAGCGTAATTCATTTATTTGACTACATTTTATCTAAAGTAATGTACCTCCCTATCATAGGCTATTCCTTTCCAAGCAAGTCACCTCCCTATGATAGTAGATTCCTTTCCAAGTAATATACCTCCCTATTATAGGCCATTTCTTTCCAAGTAATGTACCTCCCTATCATAGGCCATTCCTTTTCAAGTAATGTACCTCCCTATCATAGGCCATTCCTTTCCATGTAATGTACCTCCCTATCATAGGC